ACAAAATATTCTCAATTTAATTAACTCATAAAAATATACAAACATACATAGCAAATAATAACGAAATCAGATTGTGTCACGTAATTGTAGGAACTCGTATTTTAATTGGCAGACTTTGTCGAATATTAATAAAGTTGGTCAAGTCAAACACACTTCCAATTTGAAACCAAATGGAGGTTAGAGTAAGTTGATTTTTTCATATTGATCTTCAACTTTATAGTGCCTTAGCAGCCTCTCCATTTTCTGTGTTTTTGCACATTTTTCCAACGTTCAACAATTTATTAATATTATTGTATAATGTATATAGTATTCGTAGTAGTTATTCACTTGCTTTCTACTATTGAAGTCTTCCCATGAGCTCGTATGCTATACATTAGCCTCACTGGCATATTATATTTACTTCTCCACAAATTAGTTGACAAAAGGAAAAAAAAATGACTCCTTCCATCTTAAATAATACATGTCATATTTCATTTTTCTTCTGTCAAAATAGACCATCTAAGTTAATATTTTGAGATATTAATTCTCTTGATACGAGAAAAATTATACTTTTTGTAGTAATATTTATGTGTTCGTCACTGAATTTTCATTTAAACTAACAAATTAATAGAATGCTATTAAACTTTGATAATTAATCATCGTGCAATTATTCGTCGATGAAGGAAAAATATCAAATATTCCAGGAGAAGGAATAATCAATTATTCACGAATATCCAATGAAATAAAATCATCTATCATGATCCTCAAACAATTGCGGTAGATGTGTTAAATGAACGGATTGGACAAAACGACTTAAGTTAATAAATGGATGGGTATCTAATAATATTTCCCGTCATTATATTATGATTATATATATAACATATGAAATAAGAAAAATGATTTTTCAAAAATATTTAGACAAAATTTCTCATGGGTCAATTTAGGTTACGTATCAACATATTTTTAAAATCAGCTAAATTAATCGGATCAAAATGAACTAAATTTTAATAAAATAACTGGATTAGTAAGCATTACAAATCTAAACGAATTGGACATATTGTTATTTTATGGGCTGATTTTACCACGCCTAATTGAATTGAATTTTCAGTACCGAAAATGATAATATTTAGACAAAATAGTACTATTTTAAGAAGTCAGCATTGCGGTTTCAGTGTTTCCCTAAATATTTTAATTTCTTGGTGATCACTGATCACTGAGAAAAAAACTAGAAACTTTATTAATGGACAGAAAATAGAGTTGAAAAAAACTCCAACTACCAGCCTAACACCAATTAACAAGTGGCATGCATGATACTACTCCATCCGTCAATTTTAATTTGTCCAGTATTTACTTGACACAGTTTTAAGAAATAATAAAAAAAAGTGATAATTTCAAAATAACAAAATTTAATATTTTGTGAAAAAATAGTTAATAATAAAATTAAATTAGAAACTGATTAATATTTTTTTTATATATTTTAAATTGAATAAGTAAAAAATGAACATTTTTTTTAATATAGTAATTTTTAGTATAGTGGAGAAGTAAAAGCAACCTAAATTTATAATAATTTTAGTATAGTAATTTTTCATATTAATTTTTAGTATAGTAATTTTTCATATTAATTTTTAGTTTCATTGATTAAGGAAAATAATTGGATTTATTTGTAGAATGGATGGGTCTTATAATGCAACTTTTGGCAAGTAACCTAACTCATTAGGCTTTCTAAATTTAGCTGATTCACCAAATCCATTTTTGGAAAATATTTTTTACAATGAAAACAAATCGTATTTGGATTTAAGACAAAATTCTGATTTATCTAGCGAGAAAGTAGAGCATTAATTTGGTTTCGTATTTAATTATTATAGAGCTAGTTTTTATAGACATTTTAAGAAGTAACTGAATTTTTTTTCGACCGTGTATAATAAATAGTTCCTTGTGGTTGAGTCCTTCTTCGGATTATATGCATAACAGAGCTTTAATGCATCGGACTGCCTATTTTCTTCCACTAATTTATCTAGCAAGAAGTAGTCTATAAGCTCCAATAACATGTTTCAGGAATTAATACAGCCATATAAACTTTTTTTCCAAAATTGTTGTTCAAATTAATGTTTTCTTTTAAAAAATAATATTAATAATAATTAAACCAACAACCAATTTCAGATATAAGACATTATTTTTCCTCTGTCTCCACAATAGATTAATTTGGATTGAAACTACACAAATTTCAGGTCAACTAAAGGAAGCCTAACCATATGCTAATTAATAAATTAGTCCATACGTTCCTCAATGAACCCTATGTATAGTCTTATCAGAGCTGTTAATGCTTAACAAACAACTCTAATTAAATAGAAAATGAATTTAAGCTAAACACATAATACAGTATAAAGACAATGATATGTCTTATCTAGCATTATAATTAATTACCATTTTTGTTACATAAAGGTAAATGTATAAAGTTTAAACTTTTTCAAAAAATTAATATTATTAGGCACGATTGAAGTTGATATATCAAGAGGTGATGCTTTTAAAACAAGTGTAAATTTATTATTTAACTTACAATCCAATTTGAACACTTCTTCTTACTTTCTAAGTATGACACTTGGGTTAAGTGATAAATGCAAAGTTGCTAGAACAATATATATATGTGCAATAAGACTATATACTATGTACTAAAGTGATTGTATATCACCTTGCTATGAGCTGTAAAAGCTACTAGAAGAAGCTATTACAAATATATATCCTTCATTCTGCAAATGTTTGGCGTCTGATAAGATCCACAAAAAAAATGTAATTCTGGAGTTAGTTTAGTAAAACACACTTCTAATTAATTAATTTGGTAAAATATATTTCTAATTAATAGAGTATATTTTAAGAGTTATATCAAATTAACATGGGTCAACTAATATGAAATAGAGGAAGTATAGTATCGGAAGAGTATTTAGGAGATGACAAAAGATATTAAAACTTTGTAAAAATTGAACAGGCTGAGTATGACCATCAATAATTAACACATTTGGATCCAATTCAAGTAATGTTAATAAGTTAATGACCTTCTAACTTATTAATTTAACATATTTTAAATCAGTAATTAATCCAATCAAATCCGCTCATGGACTGATTTTTCGACTTATACAAACTTGATCTATAAACAACTTTAATGTTGATCAAATATGTAAATAAGCAACAGATTAGATCCTCATAAATTAATTTAACTCGCGTATAAACTTAGTAAGCCACCTCATAATCTTGAATATGGGTGCAAAAGAAACACTTAAAAGACATCATAATAATTAGTAGAAAGAAAGAAGGAATCACTCAATTTCCTGGTTAGCAGGAAATAACATATTCTACACTACACCCTTGACACAATAATGTGTTATAGCCCAATGATTTTAAGCGCCTTAAAAGAGCTAAGACTAGTTTAATTATAAAATTTCCAGTATAATCATTTGTCCAAAAAAAATAAAATATACTCATGCAATTTTTGAACATCATGAAATTTCTGACTCTGCTAGTGTGACTGTGTGGTTACGTTGTGAAATTTCAATAGAAACAAATGAAAGTAAATGGCAAGACATTAACGTTGGATCTCATCAGGAAAACACTTGTGTGTTTATGGCATTCATCATATTAAATCATATCAACTATATATTTATTAGCTTAATATAAACATTTGTCGATATTTAAATAAATAAATAGTGTCATGGTACAATTGTGCCTTATATGAGTGCATGCGTTAGCATGAATCCACCGCCAACAAATATATGCATATCTGTCGAGGCTGTAACCAAAAGACACCTTCTGAGATGACTTAATCTACAAGATGTACAGCCAAAGCAAGCATCACGAGTCTTACGTATCTGGCAAAACAAACACCCTACTCTACTAATTTGCTATACAATTCTTGTGAGTGACAGTAAGATTTAGAATATATTGACAACTCAAAACAACTAAACAGTTCCTTCACAATATATTATCCCATCATCATTCTTTACTTTAATATTCTATCATAGGGGCGACTTGTATAGTTTATACTCTTTTTAATAAAATACTAATAATTAAGAGGATTCCAAGCCGCGTAATGTGGTGCTTGCTCAAGAATAAAACCTCATTGACAATGCACGTAGTCTACACGTTGCCTTGTTAATCACGCACACACATTTCATTTCACACTAGACAAACCATCCATCATCCTCTCGATAAAACTAATAATACGCACCGAATTCAGATCTTTTATTTTTACTGATCTTATGTTCAAGTTTACCTACCTTGTTGGGGATTCGACGATAAAGATCGGACAACGATCTCACTTTCCTCCTCATATTCGGAAAGATTTATGTTAATTCGCTCTGCTCGCAGAGCGGTATACCGAAAAAGAGAAGCGACTACCTTACTTAAGCAATTATCAGATTGATCTTTGAAGGACAGGATCTTTTTTTATGGTTGACACCTCTTGAAAACCAAACCGGAAAGAGAATTGAGGTCAACTTTTTATTTTGTTGTCTGATGAAAACGTAGAACAAACTAATACATTTGTTTACTAATGATATTCGATTTATCATTTAAAAATCTCGATTAATCCTGATTTGCATCATGATAAGTATAAGGATAGAGTTATGAAATGAACATGGAATTAAATAATAGCTACATGAAGAGTTTCTTTTTTATTGACAAATTTTTGTTCACCGCCCAAATAACAACATTCTGCAGATCATGCTATGGCATGCACCATTACACCCCTATCTACCGTCCTTTAAATTTCCACCTTACATATATATACTACTACTAATATTAACCAATTTAAAATAGATTTAACTAAATAAAAAATAAATTCACGAGTAAATAAAAAAGAATATTATATTGAACAACAGAAACTAGTAGAAAATGAATAACCTAATGTTTGTCTCTATACATAATGATAAAAGGTACTTTTTCCTAAAAAGTATATAGTAAAATAATATCACATGTAAAACCAATTAACTAATTTGACTTAAACAGAATTCAATCACTATTAAGAATTTTCAATCGAAAAATAAACGCGGCTTCTTAGCAGGCATAGGACTTTCTACTTCTTGTTCAATCGGATGTTGACTTCTACCTCCACAGTCAATGGTCAGATCCAATTGGCATCCCGGCGAGGCAGGCATGTTTAGGTCAAAGTCACGCGCAATCGGAGTCGACGCGCCGCCGCCGTCTGATGTAGTCACAACGCTTCCACTCTGAAGGCCTTCTCCGCTTATATAACGATTGTTACCACCGAGTTTACCTTCGTAGTGGCGGCGCTTGTGTCCACCCAAAGCCTGTCCAGTTGGAAAAGCCTTTTGACAAACAGAGCACACGTGAGAACGGCCACTCGGATTCAGAGCAGAGATATTACCGCTTGTGGAAGTAGACGTCGACGGATTGTTATCATCGTTTCCGGTGGCAGGAACGTTAATTTTACGGTGACTTGCTTTATGCCCACCAAGTGCTTGATAAGAAGTAAAAACTTTAGGACACTCGCTACACTTGAATAATTGCTCTGTTTTCTCTTTAATAAAGACCGGCTTCAACAACTTTTTCTCCTGCTGTTGTTCAATAACAACACCAATCGAACCGGTTCCTTTTCCTTTCCCAAATCCGGTACCGTCGTCGTTAGCGAGCATGAGTAAACAGAGTGCTAAATACTGATCTGGAGTTGGTGGATTTTCAATACGTGGTCGTTTCGATCGTTTTCCTTTAGCCCATGAATCCAAATTATGCGAATCATCAATCTCTTCAAGCGGTGGTAGCGCCGCCGCCGTGGGTGACTTCAAAGCTTCAATCGACATGGAGAGAATTATTATTATATTAGAGAAATAAAAGTGATAGAAGAAAGTTGAGTGAAAGAGTGAAGGACTGAAAGAGAAGTGTGAGATGTATATTATATATATAGGGGTTAGGGTTTGGAGAGTTGGAAGTTGCGTATGGAATGGCGGTGAACGAGTTGTAGAGGTTAATATAAGCGTTTTCAATTGGGTTAAGGAAGAAAATATTAAGAGGAATTGACACGTTTAGACATAAGTTGTATCGGAGTCGGTCAAGTTAAGTGTAAGAAAACCCTGTTTAATATGGTAAAGGATTTAAGCATATGACTCAGCTTTTTTAAATTTGACTTATTCTAAGGTCAAATTAAACAAACAGTAGTGGATTATTATCACTACTCAAATTACTTGGCAATATGGACTTATTACGTGCGCAAGTGCGTAATCACCTAATTCCCAGTTAAACCCTCTTCATTTTTAATCTATACGTATAAACTGATCAATTTGTAGTTAAAAAAATAGATAAAATTATGAATCCAAAAACAAATCCAACTCTTTGAAAGTTTTATTTTAATTTATATATTTGTTTATTATTATGATGGCCTTTTAGTTAACTCATTTTTTTTAGATAAGCATGACTAACTTATGGAAATTGACCATTTGTCACCTAGTTACTCTCTTGAAAACAAGACAAGTCCTATTTTTTAAAAGCTTAAAGCAAAAGATGACTTTTTAGAAAATCAAAAAGTGGAATATTACAAAATAGTACTCCTACTCTTACTTTGTTCGTTAATTTTATATACTTTTTACGCAATTATAAATCCTTTCATTTTATAAAGGGAAAAAAAAAACTGATTCCTCACCATGACTGTGCTTAGATTCACTAGATTATTTTTCTACCGTTAAAATAAAAAATAAATAAATTAAGTGTAGGTAGAGGGCATGAGCCTTTATGAAGTGGTGAGATACTTGGTTAGCTTTATGGTTGGGCATCCTTCTAGAAAGACACCTAAGTTGTAAAGTTTCTACAAAAATTTGACACGTGTTTTTATTGTTGATTAAATTAATATTATTACACAATTTTCTAGAATGTAATAGATCTCCTTTGATTGGTTAGAAAATGTACTTTTTGCCATGGAGTATCTACTTTATCTACTCTAGTCTAGACTAGATAGGAACAATTGCGATGTAGAAAAAACTACTCCCTCTATCCCTAATTATTTATTTATTTTTGAAGTGACATATTTATTAAGAAAATAATACTTATATAGTGAGTTTATCATTTTATTTCTATTAATTATAAAGTGAATAAATTAAAATTTTAAGATTTTCAAAAAGTTTATATTTTTCAAAGTAATAAATTGAGGATATAATAGAGAAAAAATATTTGTTCTTTCTTGATTTGTCAAAATGAATAAGTAATTAGGAACAACTAAAAAAGAAAAAATAGACAAGTAATTAGAGAGAAGAAGTAGACAAGTAATTAGAGACAGAGATTAAATATTTATCTCTACATTTATTTTTCTTACTATATGTACTTGTCAATTGCTGAAGCCGTTTTCCTGTTTTTTTTCTTCTTTAAGATATTTTATTTTAACTAGTGGATAAGTGAGAAGGAAATTTTTACTTCCAAACACATATTAATGGTCATATTTAACATTCAAACACGTAGCTAATAAAAGCATAGCGTAGCAAATTTTTCTTTTTGAATATAACCCGCGACAATTATAATCTCTGCCACAATTTTTGTCCGTTGGGTGAATATTTTATGTGCGTCGGATGAAATTCCTCTGTGTTATAACCTGCCCAGGAGATGTGAATTGTAATAGGTAAGTCTTATGCAACAAACTAGATTAAGAAGACAGCGAGGGAGGGAGGTCGATCACGTTTTATCTGTGTGAATGATCACCCTCCAAACCAACTGAATTATCGCAAAAAACAACAGCCCTTTTATTGTGACCATAATATTTAAAAATTAATTATTTGATTATTGTGTAATTTATAGTCTTTATCTTTCCAAAGATTTCAAGCTCATAACTTTTATTTATAAAACTTGTATAATCCACGTTTGAATAATTGATAACAAAAAATAAAGTAGTTTACTCATCGTAAAATATATCAATTCTTCTCTCAGACTCAAAATAGGTCATGTAATATTATATCTCGTTCGTAATCTTACTTTGATCCTTACACATATAACTTAATTTTATGCGGATTGCTTCTTTTCGGGATAAATGATCCATTTTTGTAATTGTGCAATCACATTTTACATTAACTAATCGTAAAATCATAAGTTTTAAATTATTGTTTTAATGACATATTTATCAAAGTTATTACGTCATGCTGACGTGAAAGATGTTTTAAAATAGTTTCTTCTCCCTTGGCAACAATAGACAAATTTTAGAAAATAAAAAATAAAAAATAAAAAATAAAAATGAAGTGAAGTGAAAAGAGGAGTGTGAAGAGGAAGAGGACAAGAAACACGGCACGCAACGTGTATTATGTTGTGTGCGATGGATTTTGCAACACGTGTACACAAACATTTCTTCAAGGGGAGATGAATGAAGCAACGACACGTGGCGATATATTTGGGCACCTTCCTCAATATTTGGAACAAGAGCCGTCCAAGCACCATACAAACTTTGACAAAATTAACTCAATTAGTTTTCTATTTATTTATAAGTGACCAATTTTTGTTAATTCCTTCTAAAGTATACAAGATATGATATAGTAGTTTTTTTTAATGTGAAAAAGTTTTACTCATAAATCTAAATCATTTGACTTTAATGGGGTATCCGGTATCGGTATTCTCCCGATGAACGAAAAAAAAGAAAACGAAATACATATCCTTAAAATTTATTATAGGATATATATTTGCTTATTTAATTTTATCACTTAAATAAGTTTTTGCTTCGAATTTATAGTGATTATTTATCTCGACATTTAAATCAAATTAGGCGACTAAATTATATATGCGATAATACGAATCATATGTTTAAATGAACATAATATTACTCATCAACTTTAATCAAGTAAAAAAAAATGTAGACTCATATTAATTAATTGCATTCATAGTTTTTTTTATAAATAATAAACTTATAAATATTTGGATTGGAAAAAAGGAGAAACGAGAGGGAATTATAAGGTGTTGAATCAAACTCTTATGTAATCAACAAAGTAAAAGGTTATATAATAAGTTGTATTATTTAAAAAATTATTTTATTAATAATTCATATATTTTTGAGTTCTGGCAACTGAGCACTAACATAATTGGTGGGCGATATCTACGTTTAATGCGTTCCTATAAATGTATTTGGAATTTAGTACAAAAATGCTACTATTTTTTTTACAAATAAAAAGTGTATTATAATTTATAATTATCAAATTCCAATCTTGGTTACGTTTGGTCAAAAGTCTCTTCCGAACAAACTTTTTGCCGATTCTTAAAATAAATAAAATATGGATCACAACACGTGTCCAACTCTAATAAGTCGTTTGGTTGAGAACAAGTTATCGCAGGATTAATTATCTTGGAATAACTTATTCCACCATGTATGTTAACTTATTTCATACTATGGTATAAATGGTGGGATAAGTTATTTCAAACATGACAACCAAACAAGACACTAATTTTTTTTTCAGGACTATTTTTTTTATCGCATGACTATTTATTCTTATCCCTCACACCATCATAAGTAATTAATTTATGTCACCAACATGGGTTGTGACAGAATGGTGAGAGTGAAACTGCTCGAGTTCAAATTTTTAATATAGGAATTTTTTTGTTGAAGCTAATGAACCCTGCAATGCGTGATTCGAATTTAGTCAGAGATTCAATACGGGCTCTGAACATCATAAAAAAATAATTTATGTCTCCAAACATATTAGAAATCATGTTTGACTATACATAAATCATGTAACTTAATTTTAAGTCTTATAGATGTATTTCCAAATCCCAAATAACTCCTTTTTTACTTTGTTTTAATTAGAGTAACATCTTTTTAAGGTTTTGAGTTCGAGTTGCATTGAGTCATTGTTATTACACAATACTTTACCCCTTTGTATAGGATTTTTTTTAACTTAAATTTAAATTTAGTCGAACCTTGATCTAAATATCAAATATTAAATAAATTTATATAATTAAATGTCTATTAAAATAAAAACTAACAAAATTAATATTTTCTATACAAAATATTAGACATTTTTTTTTTATATATATATTTAGATAACGAGTACAATCATTTTAGCGAACTGACCAAATATACAACTTGCACTCTAAAATATGATTTGGTTATATCGATCTGTATATAGTTTGGAGCAAACGCAAATTACTTGGCAAAAGCTATGTATTGCAAACTCACCAATTCATTCTTTTCCACTTTACACCAGTTTTATATATCATTTGTTCTGTGCCAATTATCATCAATGCCCAAATATTTTGTATCCTCCCCAAATTGTACTACGTATATAATTCTTCTAATTTTCAATTTAATTTTTTAGATGAAATGGACATATAATTAAACATAAAGGTATTGAAATCTGAGTTTTATTGCCATTATCATCAAAAGAGTTTCCTGCGTATTTCATACATAAAAAAAGAATGAAGCAACATATAAAAAAATGTGTTAATACATAATTAAATAATTAAGAATATATTCTCTATAGTGATTTAAAATTAGTCACACTTTTACACGACATCAACTGGTTGACACTTCTCTTTATTATTAAAGTTCAATGTATGTTGTATTGACGATAATAAATGATGATTTGTTATTTGTGTAAATTAAACGACGGCCTAACCAAATATCAAATGAAAGTGAATTTGTGTTATTTTCATCTCAATCTCTTTAGGAAGAGTATATAATACACTGGCATATACTCTTTCTGTTCTGTTTTATAAAATAATTTTCGTGAGTCGAGAGTCTATAAAAAAATAATTTTATTATCTTATGAATATAAGAATAAATTTGTGTTCGTTCATTCTTTTCGAATTCCACTTATATGTTATTGTTGTATATTATCCTGGTGGTTTCTCACTTACCAGACTCCAAAACAAAAAGTAAAAATGTTTTATCACGTAAGTCAACCTCTTTTATCCAAGTGAATTTGTCCATTAGTTAACTTTGACTATGTCTACGTGGTGTACCAAACTATATATTGGAAGGTACAATTAAAAAGGGATTAAAATGTGAAGAAAATTATTTTACAGAACATTTTCGATCAAATGTCAGAAGGCACGAAAGATTCGTGACCAATTAGTGTATGACTCAATAGTGTTTATCCATTTCAAGTATTCTTATTATTATTATTCATATATTAAAATTAAAATGTATATTATACTAATTGAGTTTCTAGATAGTTCAATTCCAACTCCCTAAAGATATTTCAGTAAAATACTTTAGAGAATGAGACTGCGGAATGTCATAGAAAAGGTACAATTGCTAAGTGAATAATTACAAATTTTCAACTGTTTTTTAAAATTTCCAGTCAAGAGAATGGAGTCCTGGAATCAAACTGGCATATGAAGTAGATAAAGTCTTTTTTTCGTTTTCAATATATGATAACAAGTTCAACACAGAGAAAGGATGGAGGAGGATTTCTAGTTTTTATGAGGTAGGATTTGGCAAAACTTTTGGCTTTGGCTTCACTTCAACTTCATTTACACTGCGGACATATATGGCATCCGGTTCATGACTGCAAGGTTAAACCACAGTTAAATCTTATGGTAACGTGAACAATTATGGAGTAACAAAAAAAAGTCAACAAAATAAAAAGTGTGTTCTTACGGCTTTTCTCCCTCTTCAAATGTATAACTTGATGCTACAGCCAAGAGTTTACCATCTCTGCTAAATGACAATGCGGCAACACTTGAAGGATACTTAGGGTACTACAGGTTGGCCCAGTAAAAACAATCAGCATTCCAGTCAGTAGATACAGTGTGATAGAAACCAAAGGCATGTCAACAAATATTTACCTGATACAACCTCTTTTTGTTGTTACCATCCCAGACATTAACATAACCATCACAACCGCCAGTGGCGAAAGTACCATAGCTGCATTTAACATGGAAATGGTTGTTACCCAAGAACATTTAAGATTAAGTCAGCAGTATGAAATCAAAACAAATGTCACACATTGAAAACATAAATGAACCAAAAAGCAAAATCAAGGAATTTATGTCAAGAAACAGGAAGTCATCAATATTGGAACCAACAGCTAGAACATGAAATTTTGTTAGTAACAAAAGGCAATTGCAAAAATACATTGTTAACATAAATCCAAGACACAGATTAATTTAAACTTAAGATATTTTAAGACCGTTAATTCTGAAATGTCAGGATTGAAGGCAGTTATGGTTCAGATGAGATGTTATCAGTGGCGGAGCCAGAATTTTTAATAAGGGGTTCAAAATTTGAGAAGTAAACACACGAACTAGTGGAAGGGGGTTCGACATCTATTATACATACCTAAAAAATAATTTTAACCATGTATAAATAGTAATATTTTCCGCAGAGGGGGTTCGGATGAACCCCTTAGGTATATGCTGCCTCCGCCCCTGGATGTTATCACAAAATTCATCACCCTTGCTCAGTCTTGGACATCCCAAGAGAACCACTTCATCTCTACTACATCTTTATGAAATTTGATCCATAGGACAAAGTATACAACAATACACGTATTGCTCTGCTAGTTTGAGGAAATATATCTCATAATATCAGTGATTAAACATTTTGCTGAAAGTGAAATTATTCCGTTTATTTACACAGGAATAAAAAAAGTTGAAGTGAAGTTGGAACTCACATAGGGTGAAATGCAATCGCATTTACTGGGTACACGATATCTCTTCCAGCTTCAGATTTCCGATGACATTTAAATGCATATCTGCACAGTAAGTCATTTCATTACATATGAATAGATGCCAAATAGACAAAATGATCTACCTAGCACATTGCAAAATCACCTCACATCCTCCGGGTTTTGGACAAAGCTAATCGTAAAAACTAATCTATAACATGGTTCCCCATTCTTATTTCCAATTTCAGGAGGACTAGCTGTCTCTATCTCGTTATTCAACCATTGACAAACTTCATTTCACAATATACAATTGGCCACATTAAGATTTCATATCTTAGATGAAAGAAAACAATCCAGCAAAAAGTTAACTGGACATAAAAGGTCTATACAAAATTATATTTCACATCAAGGCTATATTACCCATTCAATTTCCTTGATTGTAGAATGATTCTCTGTTTGTACAGAGACTGTTTTGTCTGTCTGTACAGTATAATGAGCTAAAAGAATTTTATCTTCAACAGATTTAAGTTGTATACACAGGCAATGTGGTTTAACTTGTGGTAGCAAATTATTACCATTTTTAATATGTCACTATTATTACTTATCATAAAGATTAACTGTAATTATCTTATAAATGACTTAATTGTATAAATATTTTTTTCACTGTTCCTCTTCAATAGTTTCATTCTGTTCAATACCAAAAACAAGAAATCATCAATTTCTAAAATTAACACATACTGTTTATTTTCTTTAATTTTAATTTCTATAAGGTCTACAGTGTCAACCAGAATAAGCAAATAGTTAATGTTGGAAAGTGCCAGGAAAAACCAAAGAAAACAAAAATAGAAGTCTTTTGAAAGGAACTACAACATGGATAAAGATTGTTAGCTAATTTACATACTTCTTCGATTGACCGGACTCAGAAAGATCAAAAAATTCCATTGCAACCCGACCTTCAACTGAACTTAGAGCATAGCCTGCAAATTACACTTATAATGAGAATAACTAGGCAATGCATCAAAGAAACCAGAAAATTGATGAAAGCACAAGACATAATCAGAACTAAATGTCGGTTGAAGCTTTAACATTCATGATCCAATAAGTTAACTTTCATTTATGCCAAGAATTTGCTACAAATGGGCCATCAAAAGTGTGCTCCAAAATTCATCATGAAAGACTTCAAAGAATATTTGTGTCACTAGGTTTTGCATACAGATAATGATGTAAATGTGGTTTTATGGTGAATTTCAAACTTAGGATTGTCCAGACTCTTTTATTTAATGGATCAGATTAACTCATTTACTGAAACCACCAAATATTACAGAACTGAAAGTAAACATCGGTTATTTACAGTTCAACCCTGGAAGAACTACACTCATAATTTTATTTTGACTACTGAGACTCCAGAAAGATAAATATAACTGATACATCTAGTGTTTGTTAATGTTTTTGACTCCTGAAAATTTTAAATAACATAAGAGTGGAAGTCCTATGAAAGTAGGCAGTTGTGGTGATCGATAATTGAGTCCAATACAGTGAAAATGGACCCCAAATGATGTCAATCATTAGAGTTATCTGCAATTAGCTCTAGGATAGCGAAAAGCAGAAACCTTGCAACCAGAAGTCCAATATTGAGCCATTAAAACTCTACAATGGAGCAGCAAATAGAGATTAAGGAATAAACCTGTTCCATTGGGATAACACCGCACACATCTAGTTTGATACTTCAAGGATGATTCCCTCCGCTGTTCAGGTTGATTCATGTTCCGCAAGTCATAGACATTCACATGTCTTCCAGCAGTTGCTACAACTAACCGGTTCCCAACAAGAGAGAGAGAGTAAACACGCTCTGGTTGTGTATAAGTTCCAACAAGAGTATGTTCCTGTCCACTTGCACCTCTAGGATCCCAGCATTTCAAGGTTTTGTCCCAGCTACCAGTTATCACTTGTCCTATGCCACACAAGAAAATCACATAATTCTATTGGATCCAACTTTCAAACCATACTGACTCTAAGCTGAAATAATAGAATGCCACCATTGAGATTTCCAATCAACATTTATAGGGTCCGCATAATCATAATGGACTAAAGTCATATTGGACCATATCATACTAACTGATGCATGAGATTAGGTTACTATTTGACCACAATAGTAAGAGGAATATACAGGGCACTTTTGAAGAGATAGGCAAAAAGTTCATAAAAAAGGAGAAAGAAAAAAAGATAGGTGCACAAGCAACTTTTTCATCAACCAAACAGAACTTGAGTCACGATTGAACTGATTGAATTTCCATTGCAGAAACTTCTATAGAACCACCATTATATTGGACATATGATTTTCTTACAATAACGTATTACTATCATTTTTGGTAGCTTTACAATGGGGAACATAATATTGAACAGAATCAGAAAGTATAAGAATTGAATTGTGAAAAGGTGTAAAGATTCTTTCAGTTTTCACCAAAGCCTGATTAAAAGCTGGAATGTGCAGAGCAGAATGCACAAGATAATTTTTTATCTGACTGGTGATGTTTTTCCAGACTCCTTATATTTCAAATAAATACTCCACAAAGTCATATCTTAGAGCAGCAAGAAGTAACTTAAATTGGCAATTGAAAATTGTAAACGCCGTGAATTATCTACACTGACCAGTTGCATATGAGTAATCAATGCAGCGAACAGGTGCATCATGCCTTCCCAAGATATCTTCTCTTCCAGAGTTGAACACAAGCCTAGAACAGGGGAAAACATTTTCCAGTGAGAAAGTTATTATAACCGAGGTAAATGTTCAAGCAATTACATACTATGCCGTAATAAGAAATAACAGTATGACATGGATGGCTATGATGACTATTTCTCAAACTTCAATATCCATTCACGATCTTAACACAAATGATGATATTTATCATCAGGAAATCACTTGAAACTGTAAAGGTATGTGTTCATTATCTAATTTCCAGCTTTATAACAGTTGTTTTTTTCCTCCAAAATTGTTACCAGTAACCAGAGAGCCAGCAAATTAGTATACAAAGTTAAATCCTAAAGAAAAACAATAGAATAATATTCACCAATTCACCTAACCAGGATACTTCAGCTATGCACCATATCCACACACTGGGTAAAATAGTAAACACAACATCATATTACCTTCTAACGGTATTATCAGCACTGGCACTGAATCCAGATGAATCATCGTGGAAGCAACAATCAAGCACTGCACCTCCGTGCATGAACTCTCCTCTCAAGGCATTAGCACTTGCATCGTACAAACGGACCGTCTAATAAAATGCAAAGCAATTAAACTTAAAAATCAAACTAACTATATAACAACAACATATCTAGAGTAATCCCACAGGGGTGGTGTGTGCGCAGTCTTATAGACTCTCAGCTCAAGTAAAGCATATCAAAAATCAATCAAGTAATTCAAACTAGTAAGATCTAACAGTCACAAAAGAGATGAAATATAATGAATTGCTCAAAATTAAATCAAATGAACTCAGAGATTTAGAAAATCAGAAAAGTGAGTAACCTTATCCCAAGAAGAAACTAGGAGGTGATCACTGTGGTTGGAGAAGCGGAGGTTGGATATGCCGTCCTTGGGGGGGTTTTCGAGCTCTCTTCCGGCAGATTGCGACACCGCCGTCATGATATCGCCGTCGTTCGCTTAAAATGGTTGATTTCAGCGTTAAGTAGAGGATATGGGAGCGTATAGAGTGACTAGGGTTTCACAGAGAGTGGAGGGAGAAAGAGAGAGAGATTTTGAAAAATGAAAAAAGGTTTAGACGAATGCTTCCAGAATTTGAATTCAAATGGGGGCCAGATAGATAGTATGAGTACTAGTAATTGGTTTGAGTTTTAAATTTTGGCAAAAGAATTTTATAGAGCTAAAAGCGGGGTAGGCCTAACGTCTTTTCCGTTTTGCTGCGCTACTAAGTACTTCGGAAACATCGAATCCAAAATCAAACACAAAAGATAGAGTATTAAATTTTAAATTGTTTACTATTATAACTTTCTTACTCAGTTTGTGCCTTGTGAGTTGTGGGCATTTGACGTCAAAACAAAATAAAATTTCTTACTTCCTTTAATTTTTTTAAAAATGGGATGGAAATATGAAATATAATTTAAATGAGGTTATTTTATAAAAATAAAAAGTTTAGAATATTTTTTTTTTAAATGATAAAAGTTAAAGTAAAAACATGTTTTTGGTGTTTTCTAAATTTCATATACAACAAGTTATATTTAAAATTTTTATGATCAAACAATAATTTTTAAATAAAGTAAAATAAAATAAAAATTCATGCTCAAACGAGTCCTTAGTTATATTGGCTTTTATTCTCCGGCCCGTTTGAACTTCTCTATATTTATTTTTATTGAAAAAAAAGGGCAAACTTCATTACTTGTAAAAAAGTATAAAAAATCTATCAATTCGTTTGCCATCTTACTAAATAAGCAAATCATGTTCATAAATAAGGTATTCAAAAAATCATAAGGGTCCAAATTAGAAGATTACATTAAGTTATTATCTTAAGAGAAAATATTAAATTTTGTAATTTTATTTGTAAGATTAAACTGTATATGAATAAATATTAAACTCATGATTCTAATATTATCTGAAATTCAAGCACAATATTTGCAACACCTCTAAATAAAATAATTTGCGTAACAAGTGGTTTTGGTACCCATAAGAAAGCCCAACACCGAGCCCACGCTCCACAGATCCAGTAACGAGCTCCATCGTCATCAAACCAATCAACAACTCCCAAACATTGAAACGGATCTGTAAACTCCCCCTAAACTTAATAAACATAAATCTGAAGTTATTGCCATTTGCCGCTACAGACACTGGAGTCTCTCTCTCTGAATTCTGCTATTGATGTGTGAATTCGAATTCTCCGCAACCTAAACCCTAAAAAATCGCTGTTTATCGAATCCCCGATCTCAAACTCGTCTATTTCACTGCTACTTTGGCCCATGCAATGGTGGTCTGCAAATGTAAGAAGGTATTATTCTCTTTCCCTCTCTCGTGCGATATATGAGTTATTAGTTCAGATGATCAAATAATTTGTAATTTGGAAAATGTTACAAGCCGATTGTATGAAAAATAAACGTGTGATTCTATTGCAATTTGATCGGATCGGATGTTTAATTGCCATTTAAATCGTACATTGCTGATTTTACTGAATTTCAGCTGGTAGTATTTTTATAATTTGTATGTGGATTTTCCAGATTCATTAATGAAGGCGGTAAAAGCTTGTTGTGCTATGAAAGTTAACTAAACTTCTATCTCGTGATTTTTTACCTTTAAATTCTCAAGTATGGCTGGGTTGTTTACTAAAAATTTCATCCTTAGTGGCCATTGAGGACTTTGACTCGTGATGTTTCCTATGATTAATTGAAGCCTAAATTGTGTTGGATTGCAGGCAACTAAATTATACTGTTTCGTGCACAAAATCGCTGTTTGTGGAGAATGCATATGCTTTCCGGAGCATCAAATATGCGTGGTATTGTATTTTTGCTATTTTTCTTTTGGCTTTTATTGGAAGTCATTTGCTTGTAGTTAATTGTGCTGGGCTTACATCTGTATTTTCCATTTGTATCAACATGTGAATTTTACTTATCAGTGAACTGATAGTAAGATGAGTGATGGAACCTTATTCAGATGATTGCACTGATATTTGTATACATAAAACAGCCATATTTTTCAATTTTCGGTCCTAATAACAAAGTAGACTGGAACTCTGGAACCGTGGAACACACAAGATCTTTTTTATTTGATAGGATATATGTTTTGTTTATCATCAATGACCAATTATATTATGAAAAAGCTGTTTGAGAGCTTAGTTCGAGGGTGTTAGAAGGTGCTAATGCAATCAATCTTCTCATTAACGATTTTGATCAAAGCCAATACTACTATGCTGATTGAGTAGTCATTCAGAATTTCTATTGTAATTGGTGATGTACTGATGTTTATGTTTTCACTTGAATCACTATTAAAGTTCATGGTGATTGAAATATATGCATTGTTGTTCACTTTATTTTCCATCAGGTATTGTACACTAATTTTGCTAAGACCTGATTAATTTAATATTATTTTTGGGAATATGGGATATGCTATCTACCTTGCTGCATTTTTTATTCAATTTGTATTTTTCATTACATTCATGTCAAGCTGTTTTGTTTTTGATCTTGCTTCAAATGAGGTCCACTTGCTATCTTTCATCATTTTGTGTTTCCTTAAAGAAATCTCAATTACAGATCCGCGCCTATTCAGAGTGGGTCATAGATGCAGAGTATGATTGGCCTCCAAAATGCTGCTATTGTAAGTCTGAGCTTGAAGAGGGAACTGGTGATGGGACAACTCGGTTGGGTTGCTTGCGTATGTTATCTTGCCAATCCATTGCGACATATAAAATGCCTTCCCTTAATAAGTTGATAACTTCTCTTATAGTATTTTTTACACCAGTCGTTGCTTTTCGCAGATACAATACATACAAACTGCTTGGTTTCACATCTAAAATCTTTTCCGCCACACACTGCTCCAGCTGGCTATGTGTGTCCTATTCTTGAATGTTCAACTTCGGTACAGTCTGCCTTCCACAATTATTATTCAATTATTTTATTTTGCTCTTGTGCATAAGAAATTGATAGTCAAGATACTTCTCTGGATGAAATGGCTGGATTGAGGGCTCTTAGGATTTGGTCTAGTGATAAGGCCGCTGCGACACATGATATGTGGATTAGGTGCACGTTATGGGTCTGAATCCTGCCACGCACAAACGTCTGATATTTAAGTGGAGAAGGGTAGATGTGCGGGCCAGTACCCACTAAGTTTTGAACTGTGTGCCATTAGTCCTCAGGGATTTCTCGGTTATAAAAAGGAAAAAAAATGGCTGGATTAAGGTGTGAATTTCAGCTGTGCAGTCTTTTGCTAGGATGACTTAAAAGGCATAACACATTGTCTGTATTTCAGTGTCTGCAGTAATGGAAAGAGCTTTAGTAGTATCACCTGAATTAGAAGAGAGAGACTATTTTGTACCGAGTTCTGAATTTTGCAACATTGACCATCAGCAATTGCTTGGTTATTAAAACAAGATGATTATTTTATTGAAAAAATGAATTCAGAAATAACCATTTTGAGATCATTAGAAATGTTCCACTTTGGACATATTGGCATAAAAGCTTTCTGGCGCTTTGATTTGCTTTGATACACTAGCTTAAGCATGTTTTGGCCATATTCATTTCTCAATCACCATTGATGTCCAGGAGATACTTTGTTGATGCAGATATGGCCTCCTAAAAGTGTTAAAGATTCAGGATCACGCTTCCATACAAAGTTGAAAGAAGCTATTATGCAGGTAATGTGTTGTCAGTTATAAGTGTGTCTCCCCGCCCCTTTTTTTTTTTTCCTAGTCATTTAGTTATTGGGGTATTCTTGCTTTGTCATGATTATGAAGAATAACACCTTGACACATTCATACTTCAAACTCGTGTTCTGACTATGCCATACTTTTGGAAATGATTTTAGTGACGCATGTTTATCACTTTTTGTGTTTATGTGCTTCTTTGAGCCGAAGAAAACAATATAAAGTAGAATACTATGGTTTTGATCCAGACCTTCATTATGCTGCTTAAACACTTTCCATTGGTGTTACTTCTTAAGTTCTGAATTTCTAGTTGTCTCCTTGTTGAGGTGCACTTTTGCTAGGATGTGACAGCTAAGGTGAATGTTTATTGACATGATGGGCATTGAACAATCAAACTGTGATTTTATATTCCTTTACCAAGAGAAGTTTGGTGGGTGTTTCCTTTTTATTTTTTATTTTTTTATCAGGTAAATATATTTTCATTTATAAACATGGCTAAAATGTCGTATAAGGGTAAACCAAAAGGTAAAGAATCTACAAAATGATATGATTCTCTACAAACTCCACCCAATCATCTATACAACAAGGAACTTTATGTGAGCACCAAAGAAAATAAGTGAACGGAGACTACTCCTTAACTGGGAGAAAATAGACTCTTAATCCTTCAAAAACTCTCCTATTTAACTCTCTCCAAACAACCCACAGTAATGCAAGTGGAATCACGTTGCAAGCCCTTCGTCTTCTCCTCCTTCTGCTCTTCTAGCTGAACATCAACTCTTTCACAGTTTTTGGCATTGCCTATATAGTGTCAAACCACCTAAACATATCCCACCATACCTCATGGTTAGCCCGCATGGAGAAGAAGATGATCCATGTCCTCACTCGTCTTCTTAAACTTGTAACACCAATTGACGGAAACAACCTTTTGCTTTCTAAGATTTCCCGCAGTCAAAATCACCCCTCTAGCGGCTAGCCAAGTGAAAGAAACACTCCTTCCTCGGCACCTTTTGGCATCCATGTCGTATTACATGGAAAAACATACTCCTCTCTAACCAACAGGTTCATATAGGAGTTCACAAAGAACTCTCCATTGATACTAAAGACCCACCACCAAACGTGTGGTTTATCAACCAGATTGACCTGCCCATTGAGTAAGGCAATCAATCACTAAAACAGGCACTTCCCAATCATGAAATTCCCTTCGAAATCACCAGTCCCAAAAAAGACTCTCCACCTTGTGTCCCCTTAATATGTTGTATTATCGAATTTCTTTGGCAAGATATTCTGCACAATCTCTGGAATTTCCTTGTTACTTTGTTTACTTTTCCTTTTGGTCATGGAGGTTTGTTTTAGCTGTTCCATATCATGACTATGGTTAGTTGGCTTGATGAAATTTTGTTTAGAGTAGTATTCAGTTGCAAGTAGGTTTAATCTTCTGAAGCATGTTATTTTCTTAATAAGGGTTGACAAATAAATGCATGGTGGACTTTTG